CCACAGAGCTCAAACGGACCGAGTCAAATGCAGCTTTGGACTCCTGACCAAACATTGGCTTGCTTTTATTCGTGTGCTTAGTCGATGAGCTACAAAGAGCAGCCATGCTCTGAAGATAAAGCTGAAACTTTTTATTATGCTTGTGAGGCAGAGAATACAAGTTGACATTTACTCCTAATGTGTCTTTTTAAAATTCATTAGGATTGACTTTGTGAATTTTCTTGTTTCTGACGTTTCTAAAAGGGAAGGAAAAGAGAAGAATAAAGGATTCTTCTCTTCATGTTCATGAATGTAATGCTTAGACTTTTTAAAATTTTTAAGCTCCCAACCATGATTCCTTATTCTCCATTAGTCACTTCTGGCTTTGGGGAGGCTGCAAGTGAACTACCTGGAGAGGGGATGTGTTGAAAATGGACATAGCACTTTCTGGCAGTGGAGCCATGTTAAGGCAGTGGAGCCAGGAGCCCTGAGAGAGCACTTGCATAGGTCCAGGTAGATGAAGTCGGTTGCTCTTCCTTTGTCCACTAATGCCATCATCCCATTGTTGAAGGCCACCAAATTAGTCAGACAGGATTTGCCCATTTTGAAGCCATGTTGGCCGTCATCAGTCACCCCTTTGTTTTCCACGTGCCTTAGCAGAGCCTTTAGGACAATTTACTCCATGATGTTGTCAGGCACAGAGGTGAGACTGACTGGTCTATAGCTCCCTGGGTCTTCCTTTTTTTGCTTCTTGAAAATAGGAGTTATGTTTCTCCTTTGTCAGTCAGTGGGAATTTTGCCAGATTGCCAGGACTTTTCAAATGCGATGGACAGAGGCTTTGCAACTTCATCAGCCAGTTCTTTCAGGAGCTGTGGATGAACCCCATCAGGTTCCATGGACTTGTGCACCTTCAGGTCCTTCAGATGGTCATAAACCTGCTGTTGTTCTACAATGGGGAGATCTTCCTTTTCACAGTCCACGCCTTCACATTCTCTAATTTGGATGGAGTGACCAAAGCCTTTGCTGGTGAATACTGAGACAAAGTAGTAATTGAGTACCTCAGCATTCTCTCTGTGCTGCATGGCCTCCAGTTTCCTTCTGAAGTGGGCCCACATTTTCCTTTCCCCTCTTATAGCTGGCATATCTTTAGAAACTTTTCTTATTGTTCTTAACATCCCTGGCCAGGTCCAACTCTGCTTTGGCTGTCCTTACCTGATCCCTTGCTTCTCTGACAACTTGTCTGTACTGCCCCCACGATACCTGGTCTTGCTTCCACTCTGTGTATACCTTGTTTTTACATTTAACTGTGTCCAGAAGCTCCTTGCTCATCCATTCAGGCCTCCTGGCTCTCCTGCCTGCCTTCCTCTTCACTGGGACACTTAGCCCCTGGGCATGGAGGAGGTGATCCTTGAATATGGACCAGCTTTCCTGGGCTCTCCTTCCCTCCAGGACTTCATCTCACAGTACCCTACCAAGCAGATCCTTGAAGAGGCCAAGACCTGCTCTTTTGAAATTGAGGGTAGTGAGCTTGCTTCTCTCCTTCCTCACTGCCCTAAGGATCCTAAATTTGACCATGTCATGGTCACTGCAGCCTAGTTTCCTGTTAAGTCTTATATCATCAACCAGCCCGTCTCTGTTGGTGAGAACAAGGTCCAGCATAACACCTTTTCTTCCTGGTTCCTTTACTTTTTGGAGGAGGAATTTGTCATTAATGTAGCCCAGGAGCTTCCTGGATTGCTGATGCCTTGCTGTGTTGTCCATCCAGCAGATACTGTGGTTTAAATCCCCCATGAGGATGATGGCCTGTGTGCACAAGATTTATTCTATCTGACTGTAGAGGGGCTCATACGCTTGGTCATCCTGGTCAGGTGCCTATAGCAGATTCCCAGTGTGATGTCATCAGCCCCTGTCTTCCCGTTAACCCTGACCCATAAGCTCTCTGTCAGCTCCTCATCCGTCCTCAGGTGCGGCTCCATGGACTGCAGGTGGTTGCTGACATAGAGAGCAGTGTCACCTACCCTTCTCCCCTGCCTCTCCACCCTAAAGAGCTTATTCCCATCCATCCCCACACTCCAGTCACAGGAGTTGTCCCACTATTTCTCAGTGATGCCAATAACATCACAGCCCTGCAGGCATGCACACATCTGCAACTCCTCTTGTTTTGTTATTGGTTATTGTTTGGGGAATTGTTTATTCCCCCTGCGTCGTGCATTTGCATAGAGGCATTTAAAGTGGGGCCCCCTTCGAAGCAGTTACGTTGGCAGGGATAACATTTGGCAGGTGAGATGCTTTCCTGTTGGCTTGCAATCCTTCTGCAGGCCCAGGGCATCTTTTACTGGCTCTGTCCTCAATGCATCACTAATTTAAAGCCCTCCTAACTACAGACTCTGGCAGACTCTGGCCAAAGACTGTCTCTCCTTTCTCAGACAAGTGAACCCCTTCAGCCACCAAGGGACCAGGTTTTTTGAAGTGAGTCTTTGTAGCTAAAGCCTTCACTCTGGCTCTACTTCTGTAACCATTTGTTAACTTTTCCAATTCATTTGGCCCTTTCCAGCCCTTTCCCTTTGGAAGGACTGATGAGAACATTACCTGTGCTCCCAATCCCTCCACTGCTGCTCCCAGTGCTCTATAGTCTTTCCTGGTAGTCTTCAGGTTACTCCTGTCTGTGTCATTGGTGTCCACGTGAAATGATAGGAGAAGATAATAGTTGGTGGGCCATACAAGTTTGTGTATCCTTTTTGTTACATCTCTGATACGAGCCCTTGGTAAGCTGCAGACACCTCTAGCAGATGGGTCCAGTCTGTAAATGGGTCCCTCAGTCCCCCTGAGAAGGGAGACCCCACGACTGTTACTCTTCACTGCTTCTTCTGAGCGCTTCTTACATGGTGGCTGAGTGAGCTGCCTTAGTCGGCTCTGGCAGCTGATCTTGCATGGGTTGCTTTTCCTTTCAGTCTGCAGACCTGTGAAATGGTTCTGCAGGTGCACTTTAGGTTTTGAAGGAGGTCTCTTCTTCCTTCAAGTTTTTATTTTACAATATTCCATTCCTCTTTATCATTTTCGTCATCATTCACTTCCCTCCTTCCTGTATTTGATAATGGGGGAGTTTTTGCATCTTTGGTTTCAGGCTCTGGGTTTGCCTCAGCATGTGTCTGGACCAATTATCTCTCTCCTTTTCTGCCTCCCTAATATTCCTCAGCCTTCTTACTGTCTCCTGCAGTTCTGGTGCAGAAGGTCCTCAACCTGCACACACCTTTTGCACCTAGGATTGCCCCCAGCCCCTGCCCAAGGAGAGGACTTGGCATTTCCCACAGCCTGTGGTTTGTGCAGCTACCTCCTTACTCACGACCTCTGTCTGGGTGGAGGCATCAGTCACCAGCAGGGTGGATGGTGCAGACCTCCCAGCCATAGGTGCAGCCTTGGCTCTGTGCTACGTGCTCACCCTGTTGCCCTCTCTGTCTGGTAGGACATCTGCCCTTGAGCCCTGCAGAAGTGCTTGGAGCCCTGACCTTCGAAGGAGAGTACCCTTCCTGTGAAAATCTAGTATTTTTATTAGTTTTTGCTGGTTTTGAACTATTCTGAGTTGGGCATGTAAAACAGCACTGAAGCATTTGTATTTCTTCTGGTTGGTTTCTGTGTCCTCAGTAAAACCCGATGCAGAAAATGCTGCCCTGCCTCCTGCTGTGTGTGTGGAAGCATCACTTTTGGAGAGGTTGTTTTTAGAACATAGCTTTTATAGCAGCCTTGGTAGTAGCAGAGAGCAGTGAATTTGAAATGCCATAGTTGCACATGAGCTAACATACAACAATTGAACTTAGCAGCTTCAATTTTGCAAAGAAAATGGTGGCCAGTAATTGTCTCTTTTGAAATCTTTGACCAAAGCCAGAACATGAGATTTCGTACAGTTTGTACTGATGTGGGGAGTTTGTAGACCCTGCAGCATTCTTCTAAAATCCTGAGAAGAAAAATATGTCCCAATATGCTTTGCCCAACCGCCCATGACTTAATTTGCTGGTGAATCCTTGTACCTCTTGTAAAGTACAGTAACATTGGAGAATAGGAACCTCGTATTTAACTTGCTAGAAAATGCTGAAATCACAGCTTTATTTTCAGAACTCAGTTCAACCTTGACTGTTGAAACAGTGGAAACACTTTCACCAGTCTTCTTAGCTGCTGCTTAAAACTCCAGGAATTCTGCAAGGTGGAAAGCTACATTTCTGTGAACTTTTTATTTTAAAATAATATTCTTAAACTGTTCTTTCTGTAGCACCATTGAAGTTTCATTATAAATTTGATAAGAATTTATAGAGTAAATATTTTATGCATTCTGCAATTAAAAAACAGGAAGCGAGTTGAGATAAATACAACAACATTACAATTTCTGTCTGATTTGCAGCAACGTTACTGTCTAAAGGATGGTTGGGATTTGAAATAAAATTCATACACGTTTTGTGCATCCAAGAAGGACCTAAAAAACACCAAACATTTGCCTTCCATATTTGAGGAGGAGTATTTTTAATAATCAAGGAGAAGAGCCGAAACATGATCACACCAGTAGCAACTAAAATATGAATCTTTGGAACATTTGTGGCACACCAGCAGTCCAGGAAGTATCAGTGTTATCCTACTCTGATATCCTCAGAGGCTGGATACACAGCACTCAGTTATGCTTTTTCAAATTCTTTGCTGACTGAATGATACATTTGAAAGATAGTTGAGAGTTATCTTTCTAGAACCATGCAGATAAAAATCTTACCTTACTGATCCAGGGAGATGTATGAGCATCTTAGTGATGTGTAGCTCCCTCAGCAAAGAAGGGACACTAAATTTGCCAGTTTTACAGTTCGTCTGTTACCTTATTTTGTGTCACCTCGTATCAACTCTTGTTTTAACATGCTTTTAACTAACTTCTATTCCCTTGAGTGTTTAATGCTTGTACCCCTTAGCGCTCTTGAGAAAATAAATATTAAATGTAGTAAGGTGGATTAATTTTTCATTTCACTGCTCATTGCTTTCCTTTCAGCTTCTTGCCTGATTACATCAGTGGTGATTTTGATTCCATTGAGCCTGAAGTCAAGGAGTACTACAAGGTCAAGGTAAATTAAATCTCTTTGATGAGTTTGTGTGTTAGAGCATTGTAGGATCCATCCCATTAGTGTCCCTGTTGGTCATTAAGTGATTCTGGCTTCATTGGTTTCTTTGAGACTTCAGTTGTGAAGCACCTTTCAAGCTCAGATATTGCACTTTGCCAGGCACTGTATTAATGTCTGAAGTAAACACAGGAGGTGCAGTGCTGCCCAAGTCCTGTGTAGGGTGCAGTTTCATAGCACCAGCTCAAGAAATGGCTCGGAGGTTGCTAGAGATTATAGCAACTAGAAACTGGGATAAAAATTCAGGAAGAATCTGTGACTTTTTTTGTTCAGTGTGATATGGAGCAATAAAGATTAATTTCCCATGGTTGGCACCCATAGATTTTCTAGAGAGAGTTTCTCTGTGATTTTTGCATGATACGACTTTACCTTTTTAGCAGGAAGCTGCACATGGAGAAATTTGTCTCTCTTTCATCACCCACTGAAGCACTGAATTATGCCCTGACTACTTCTGTGCTTCACTGGTGGAGTGCCATCTGTAATGGATTTTTTAACACATTCCTGCAGACATTAATTTATGCCCAGTGTAACCCTACTTTTCTAGTGAGCAGTATAAATGTAAACTCACATTTCTTAGGTCTTAAGGCTCTAAGTTCTGCCTTTAGCTAACTATCTGGCATTTAATGTTTTGCCTGCCCTTCTAGATAGATTTTTGTGCCTAGTGCAGTGCTTTAGCCTCATGTCTTGGACAGGTTTCTGCAAATTTAGAGTGCACCTCATTGTGCCAGCTTGCCTTTGCAATAGGCTGCACTTGCAACAGCAGTGCTAGTGATCCTTTGAGCTAGTGGACTTAGAGGTCTGTGATCTGTCTGTTGCTAATTCAAAGTATGAGGCTGAAATTTCCCTAGGATCTTCCCTGATGGACTTGGGATTAAATGCTTAGAAGAAAAGGTTTTGGACTGTGAGGAGAGGACTGGAGGAGCGTGTAGGACTGGGTTTTAGTCCCTCTCTGAACACTATGTGTGTTTTTTTCTATGTTTTACTTCATTGGTTAGAAGGGAAAAGTGTGAGATGGCTGTCTACCTTGAGAGAAGAGCTCAAGAAGAATCCTTGGGAATCTTTAGGTTACAGTTTGGGAAGTGAAAATAAAATAAAAAATTGGGGGTTAATGCTGTTGATTACAGACTAGAAAGTAATGATCTATGAGTAAGTGGGGAAATGACAAAAGGCACTGCTCTGTTTGGCATGGAAGTGGGTATTAATGCTTATATAAACTGCTTGGGTAGGTGACCAAAGAATGTGGGTTGAGGACTGTTCAACAGAGAGAGGGAAGATGGAAGTGGTAGGAGGGGGAAGAATACAGTAGGATATGGAAAAGAGATAGGATGAGCTAAACGGGTATCACGTTTTTTCATGGGGATTGCTTTTCTGACTATAGCATCTCTTCTGTCAGCTCCCTTGTAGCTGACTGTTGATGTGCACTTTCTGTCTTCTTTGTGAACATGCAGTGAACCATTCTGCCTCATGCAAAGTTGAGACACCCATGCAAGTGCTGGGCTAACAGACTGTAAAGGAAGCAGTATTTCATCAGGATTGTGAAGGTGTAAAAAAAAGAGTATAATCTAGCCTACAGGATCCTTCTATGGGGCCTTCACACATGACTGAGGAAAATGCAGTCTGACTTTAGAATTTTACGTTTGGGTGTATGTGGTAGGAAAAATATTCTTTGCATTTTGAAATTAAAACTTCTGTAGTCAAAAAATTAGAAGGGTTAATATGGGTGGATGTCTAAGGAATTCTTGAGCAAAATATGTAATATAATACAGGATTTTGAGAGAGATGTTTGTGTTTTTCCTTGTAAAATGTCTTGCCAAGTGAAGTACCCTCTCTAGTCCAGGCAATTTCCAAAGTCACTGTCATGTGTCAGTGTTGTGTGTTGATGACCCAGAATAGGTTAGAGCTGCTTAAAATAGCCTGTGAGAGAACTTCAGGTGGGTAGATCAGAATAGTGCCATTGCCTTGAGGGAAGTACAGCAGTAGTATTACTGCCTTGTTTCAAGCATCCTCTTGTATCCAGTGTTGATGATTATGAAGGGGAAAATGGAAGAATTGGTGTAGCGAAGCTTAGGATGACGTAATGTTGCTGTTTTCAGTGAGGAAGTGGATGAGAATCCACAGAAAGCCCACCTGCTGGCTAACTGATGAGTATTTCCCTGTAGAAAATAAAGCCCTTTGCCATGCTAGCTTTTGATCTTTGTCATCAGCTACTTTATTGGTACATACCCACAGCCTTCCACAGGCTTGCTTCCAAACAGTCACCTTTGCTCAAATGAAAAGCCTGAAGAGTTCTTACCAGACAGAATTACATGAAAGCATGTACCTTCATCATGTGATGTTGCTCCAGTTTCATTTGCCCAGGTTAGTATCAAGAATGTCAATACTTATCTGGGCTTCTTTGAAGTTGGGCTCATTACCTTCAGACAACTAAATATTTACTTTTCCTTTGAACTGTGTCTCTAGGAAACCTTTTCAGGGCTTTAGGTCTTCATCACAAAGTAGCAATAATACTTTGTAGGAATTCCTAATGCTTCTGCTCCCACTGATTGACAAGCCACATTTCCCATTCCACCAAGTACAGGAAATTTTCCTGGTCATATTCACCTGTCTTGAGTTGCTGCCAGGCCAGGGTTAGTAATGACATTGTAGCTGTAACTTTAGATTAATCAAAACTCACTTTCTGTGTAGAGTATTTTATACTGTAGTGTAGATTTTAATTTCTTTGTGCTCCTTGCTTTTTTTTTTTTTTCTTTATATACCTAATGTAACTTATTCTGAAAGGAAAAGAGACACTTTTTGAAGATGCTTACTTGGGGTGTGTCAAGAGCTCTGCCTTCTGACTAACATTACTGTCACCATCAAGGAAATGGGGGTGTGGGGGATTGTATTCTTTTTGTACAGATATAACCAATTCATTATGGCGAGCAGAAAGGAGGAACTGTTACATGCGTGGAGTGAATATGAAGGAAAGTAAAGCACGCAGCAAGCGTTGAGATGTATTCACCCTCTGCATTTCCATCTGCCTTTATGTATGATGTACAGGGAAAAGTCATGCCAACTTTTCTGTCCCTTAAGTCTGACTTGAATGCTGTAGAGTCATCTTCCAGGTGAAGGGCAAGTGGTGCTAAAGGAGCTGGAGGTTCCTTCAGTATTTCAGTTGCACTAATTTATTTTATACGAGGAATTAAAGAGATTTTCCTTCTTTTTTCTTTTAATAGAAGCTACTCATATTGACAGAAATTAATGCATCATTACTTCTTTTATCTGTTTGAAGATAGCATGCCACTGGTTAAGAGGAGTTAGTTTTTCATAGTACAGGTTATGGATGTTAGGTATTGAGTTATGAAACATACTCATTGTGTCAAAGACAGCCCAGTGTGGTGCTGGGTAAGAAGAGGGAGTATTAAATGCAGTGTGTGAAACTAATTATGGTTCTGTAAAGTGTTGTCTGTATGCAGTTGTGTCATCATCATGAAATGACAGGCTGGGCTCCTTCATCACACCAGCTTCATGCCAAGATGTTGCTGCTAGACTCAAAAGGTTTTAAGCAATGAAAGCAAGAGCAGATTTATGCCATTACAGAAAACATGGCATAGAGATTCCTGAAGCCAAAGGGTTTATGGGAATGGATACCTTTAAGCCAATTCCTCCGGTGTTTTCATTTGAGCAAGGATTACATGGCAAGTGTTTCTACTTACCCTTAATTAGGGTTATTGCCATGGTGTTGAGGAATCTTATTGAAATAAGGTTCATAAACATGAAGCAGATAAATGCATTTATCTCTGTTAGGTTTGGCATGCCATAGGGAAGAGATCTAAAGGCAAAAGTGTTGGTTTTCAGTTGTGTTGGAAATGAATTGTGTAATAGACTTATCAGTGGAATGTGTATGTGTTAGGTATGTTATGCTTTGGGGAAAGAACAAGTAAGCAGGCTTCATATGTTACTCAGCTTTCCTTCTTATTGCAGTTCCTGTCTTACTGGCTTGTCAAGCAGGTACTTGTAGTCTTTTATTCCTTATGTTAAAAATCGCTGATTATTTTCCCCATTTGTTAAGGAGTTAAATCATTGTAAATCTGGATGAAATTGCACCACATCTAAAAATGGAATATCATGTTTTAAATTTTCCTTTTTAAATCAAATTGCACTAAAAATGAAGGGTAAAGAATAACAATTCAATATTCTTCTGTATGTTTTCTGTCATTGTTTAAACAGTTATTGAAGAGAGTTTTTGTATTTTAATGATAAATGTGCATGTTCATATGGTTCCATAATAGATGCACTGGCAATCTCTCACGCTTTAGTCTGAAGTGCATTGGAAATGACACTGCAGAAACCAGAGAGGACTTGTGATGTTTCTGTCATTGCAGTTTCATCAATTTCTTGCTTTAGCTGAATGTTTCTATTATTGAAAACTTTAAAACATTACTTGAAGTTAAAGCAGCAATTTGTATTGTTATGACTCAAACAAGACTTAGTTTCTGAACTTTTGAGACCAAAGACATTATCTAAAACCATAACAAATCTGTGCTTACGCCTAGAAGCAGAAGCTTCAATCCAGTGCCCTTAGAAATCCAGATCAAGCCATTTAGTAAAAAAAACAGTTTGGCTTTTCCACTAAGCAAACATTATGTGCTTTAAAAGGCTTCTGTAGACTGAGTAGCCTCTTCTTCAAATCTGTAATTAAGTGCTGTGAACTTGTAAATAAGTCTACTGCTTTTCCTATTCTGTTTCCTTTTTAAGACCCCATAGAGCTGCTTCTTTTTGCAAGTAATTCTGCAGCTGTAGCACTTTCCCTTTCCTTCTTCCATTACATTTTCAGGGTTTAATGTTTATCGAGGCTATAAAAATGCTTAATAGGTATGGTGTGGGTATTGTCTTTTTGTTCTGCAATGATGCACCTATAATTAGATTTACCAAATGTGTTTGTAGCAGTGAAATAGTGCTTGTGC